TACGTTCACGTAATGATATGTCTGTGATAGGTATAAGAACGTTAAGGCTATGATAAGTTAGAGAACGATATGACTATGAAACCTTTACGTTATGACTCGTCTATGATATGATACATTGTGATGCAATATGTCATGGTATGATGTGTATATGATGAAATGTTATGTTAAAAGCATAGAACATTATGTTAGGTCTCTTAAATTGTGTGTATACAGCATGATATGAATAACATGAAATTACGATAAATGGCATGAAATATAACCCCGTTCGAATTATGTATGATTTGAGAAATGAAGACTGAGAAACGATATGACATGAATGGTGAACGATATGAAAAATGATATGATATGTACATCATGCTAGCGGTGTTGTATTAAAGGATAATGAAAATGGAAAAGTTTTGGGATCTCATGCATTATGTGTGATCATGCATTTGGGGGGATACCCCTATCCCATCACAAGGATACGGACGCCTACATCCAATGGTAGGACAACGATCGTTATGCTTTGCATAGCGCTGCCGTGACGGTTACTAGTTCTAGCGGGTTACCGGCCTAAAGGGCTCCCAGAGTATGCCCACCGGATAAGGAAGATGGCCCAGCGGTGTGCGAACTAGCTGGTGAGACCATACTCGCACGTATGGGCTGTGTGTAGAGTATATGGTACACGTCCAAAATTACTCATTAGGATAGCATCGTAGGAAAAACAGAATGAAAGATAGGTCCCATCATCTTATTGCATGTGATTGTTGCATTTAACCCCAATAGTGGGGTGTATATCTTTAAATACTCAAGCCATGTGCTATTACATTCTCCAGGTTAAGGCAAGACATTCCTGTACGGCTGACGACAGCATTGCAACTTGAGATTATGGCACATCCATAGGTTAGTGGTATTTATTTTCTTAGACTTAGGCTAGAATAAAATATTTTTAACTTAAACTCTTATTCGTTTTATTTAGTCTTTTGTTGTGTCGTTTTAAAGATGTTTTCGAAACACGTAAGTCTATAACTGTGTTTTAAGATAAAGGTTATGTTTTATGGAATTTTAATGAAGTCTTCCGCATTCAATGTTTATGGTACGTATACAATAGCGACCTTAAATTAAGTAGAAAATTTTGGGTCGTTACAACACATAACTTGAGTATTTAAAGAAATACTCCGTAAGTGATCCCACTATTGGGAGTTAAATGCAAGAACATGCGAATGCAATGACGGGACCTATCATTTAAATCAATTTTCCTACGATACTGTCCTAATGGTTAATTTTGATGTGTACCATATAATCTACACACAACCCATACGTGCGAGTATGGACTCACTAGTCAGTTTGCACACCGCTGGGCCACCTTCCTTGTCAAGCGAGCATACTCTGAGAGCTCTTTAGGCCAGACACCCGTTATAACTAGTAACCGTTACGGCAGTGTTAGGTTAACCATAATGATCGTATCCCTGTCTGACCGTCGCAACATTTATGATAAACATAATGATCATTTTCTTGCTTGGTCATAGTAGCATTATAATAACCATAATGATCGTATTCCTGTCTCGTAACATACTCGTTCGTACTATCGTGAAGGGTAAGGGATATCCCCCAATGCATGAGCACACAATAATGCATGAAGTCCCAACATTTTTCATTTTGATTATCATTTAATACAACTCTGCTAGCGGTTTCGTATATCTCATATCATTTTTCATATTACTTATCATATCTTTCATGCATGGGTTGTATTTCATGCTAGTTCCTTTATCATATCAAAACATTTCATGTTTCCAGACATAATAATTTTCATCATATACCTATTATACCATAACATATTGCATCACAATATATCATATCATAAACATGTCAATTTATCACATATCTCGTACCATAACCTATTTCATATCGTCTTCATATCATATCACAATATATATACATCCATCATTCACATGTCGTATCATAATCATATCGTAAACACTTCGTGTTTATATCGTTCCCTAACTTATCATAGCTTTAACATTCTTATACCTATCATTCTATCAATCTATCATAATCTCATCCCTTTCTACCCATATTCTACTCATATCCTAACCATATTCTTTTATCAATCTCTCGTATCCATAGCATTTCGAGACCTAACCTAATCTTAACGTTTCGTGAACATATCTTGCTTCTATCGTTACATTACGTTAAGTACATCCTTCTCGTATCATATCTCAAATATATCATTGAATACATCACACCGTAAGTATTATTATACAATTCACATATTATAACATATATATAAACATAAAATAAGCATATCGATTCACAAATAATTCACACATATCAGTATATATGACACGTGCAGAACAACGGGCACATGTCAACATTAAATATGATACTAAGCCACTTAATCGTTGTCACGAATATATTCTTAATAAAAGTTCGATTCTGTCCTTTGAAATCTAAGTCGTTTCAAGTTTGGACTTCTATCAAATTATTTCTCTAATTATATTGGTCAATTTGTTAAACTCATGTGAACATTAGAGTATTTGATCACGTCAGGTTGATTGTGTATTTTAATTGCTTACTGCATGTGAAATTTTAATATAAATAAATGAGTGTAAGAGTTAGCGTTGGAGATTGGTGTTGTAGTTTACTTTATTAGTACACCACACATGAAATTAAAAGTATATGGAAAGAATACCAAAGATAGAGGAATGTAGTATATAGAAGAATGTAGTATGAATGTAGTATATAATAGAAGAATGTAGTATATAATAGAAGAATGTAGTATCTAATTGAAATACAGACGCATGTGAGGACAAATGGAATGAAAAAATAAAAATAATTGATTTTATGCTTTTAGTGTATAGCCCCTATCCAAGCATATCCCAATAATCATAAAAAACAAGTTCATCATCTTTATTGTTCAAATAAACCCCATCTTGTCTCGCACTCCAAATGCAGGTTGAGTTGGCGCAATGATCGACCAAAAAATTACCATGGTTGCTATAAAAGGCTTCAAATTCTAAAAGCCCATATTGCCACTCCAATTTACAATGAAAATCCGTAGAGTCTAACCAATTATCATGAAATGACCAATTTTGTTCCTCATCCGGGAACAATATATGTAACCCTAAATCATCATCTTTCGAGGTGCAATGGGCATCCAATATGAACATATGCAAGTCGTTATGGATCTCTACAGTAAAATGCTGAAAGGCAGAATAAGGGTTGTTTGGTTCTGGAAATCTGGGCTTTGTCTTTCTGGGTTTTGGGGCCTTATTTTTGTTTTTCGACCTGGTTGCGACCATCGAAAAGTGAGAGGAGGCTATGAGCACAAGCACTAGCAATAACATAGGCCGATGCATCGCCATTGTTAATCTAATGTGGGAGAATTAACGCAGGCCGATGTAACTCCTATGTTAATCTAATCTGGGAGAGAGGATTTGAGAGTGTGGTTATTTGTAGTGGATGTATGCATTAGAAGGGAGTTTGGGATTATAGGCTGTGGTTTGAAACGTTCTAATGCAATGCTAAAAATGGGAGTGTTTTGGGTTATTTTGGATGATTATCGTTGGTTGTTTCAAAGAATCATTCCAAGAGATAGGTTATAATAATAGGAGAAATGGGTTTTGTAGGTAATCTAAAAATGGGAGTGTTTTGGGTTATTTTGGATGATTGTCATTTAAGATAGTGTAACGAGGCTACCAAGTTACTATAGTGATGTATACTGGTCTTGACAGAGTACTAGGGACTACATGTATAGTTAAATGAAACTCGGGCCTTCTGAGGTTGCACTGCCATAAATTCGTCTAAGATGGTGAGAAACAATACAACTAAACTTAATAGTTAGTCGGCAGATGAGGTCGCTCCCCGAGATTTAGTATGACCTTATAGTTATGCGTTAAAGGTCGCTAATGAACCTTACACATTTGATATTTAGATGAGATGATGTCATACTATCCAAAATAGATGTGATAGGTCATGCAAGTATGAAGAACACGAAAGTTAGTTCTCTTAGTGATGAGATATGTCGTCAGGTAGATCTATAGTGCCAAAATTCGATGAACAACTTCTAGATCTCGATTGGGTTTGTGACAAGTAAGAGAATTGCTCGAAACTTCAAGGCCTTCATAGAAACTCAAATAGCTATAGAATTAGGCTTAGAACTTCTTTTTTGTGCCTAGAGAGAAGCCCGTGATAATTTACTAGGAATTGGACGCGATAAAGGCCTACAAGTAGGTCACTTGCGGAGTATTGGTATACTCCTCTCATTCTACCTTTCTTTTTCAAGTGTTCGCTGACTATTGATTGAGGTAATTTACTAAGAATTAAACGCAATATGAGCCTACAAATAGGTTAATAGACCGTTGATAAGTCTTACCTATTTACAGGGTATCTATTGTTATTTTTACTATAATACCTTGTTTTGACTGTATCACACTATGTATCATTTGATAACGTAATAAATCCATTATAGTATCCCCAGCTCAAATCAAAATTTAAATGGAGGAATTTCAAGGATATTTAGAACTTCAGAAATCTCGGCAACGTGACTTCCTATACCCACTTATCTTTCGGGAGTATATTTATGCATTTTCTCATGATCATTTTTTAAATGGATCCATTTTTTTGGAAAATTCTGGTTATGACAAAAAATCCAAACATTTAATTAATGAATGTATCACCATAATCATTTTTTTCCCCACTAATTATGACAAAAATTCATTTTTGGGTAAAAAAAAATTTGTATTCTCAAATGCTATCCGAAGGGTTTACAATCATTGTGGAAATTCCATTTTCCCTAAGATTAGAATCTTCCTTAAAGGAAGAAGAAATCGCAAAATCTTATAATTTACTCGGGAGCTACACAGTCACAAATGGGTCATCCCAAGTGTTAGTCTCCTTCGTCTCCATGTCTTTTGGAATTTTACATTTGTTTGAATATGTATCTCGAACACAAGGGTGGTGTTATTTACAATTACACAATGAGCAGACAAAATTTATAGAACCTAAGGAACATCCTCTTCCTTCAAAAGCCTTACATTGACTAATTTATTTTTTCTTTACTGTGACTATCAGATTTCAAAAGAAATAGCATCGTCTTATGGCCAAGTTTAATACAAAAAACACAAAGATATTGAAAACTATTAGAACCCTTTAAAGTTATTACAACATAGGAAGGATGAGATGAGCCCCATGACCCTTTAAAGTTATTACAACATACGGAGGATGAGATGAGCCCCATGTTGTGGCTGAATAGTGACGTTGGTGATAGGAGCATGAGTATAACTTGGAGAAAGTTCAAACGAGAATCGCTGCAAAATCATCGATAATGCTATTTTTGCTTCAATCATTGCAAAGTTTTGACCGAGACAGATTCGAGGACCCCATCCAAAAGGAATGAAGCATACTTGATTCTTTGTTGCTTTGGAAATCCCCTCGACAAATCGCTCTGGCTTGAACTCACTCGCATCTTCACCCCATAGTGTAGGATCTTGATGGATGCATACAATTGGAATGCCTATTGATACTCCAACTGGTAATGTCAGATTCCCTAACTTAGTTTCCTTGTGAATCTCTCGAGATAGAAGACCAACGGGAGGATATAGTCTAAGAACCTCATTTAGTATCATAGTAACCTGTTAACATCAATAAAAGATAGATCGATATAACAATACTAATAAACTTCAATCGAAAAAAAAAGTAAAGTATTTGACTTGTTTACTTACAATTTTAAGACGACTTAGACCATCAAAATCGAATTTTTTATTATCACCAAAGATCTCAAGGACTTCCGCTCTTGCTCGATCTTGCCACTCGGAGTATCGACCAAGTAGAACCATCGTCCAAGCAAGCAATGCCGCTGTGGTTTCTTGGCCAGCAAAATAGAAAAGTCTGCATTCAGCAATTACTTCTTCCATGCTCATTCCAACATCTTTCTTGTTTTTGTGTTCTTGAATCTCACGTGAATTTGATTCTAAGAGGATGCCCAACAGATCATCATTGGAAGCTTCACCTTTCTTCATAGCATTTTGTCTTTTGTTTATAATACCCCAAATCATGTCTCGTATATTGCCATTAATCTCATCCATCCTCTTGTTCAACTTGGTTGGAAGAAACCTAAAAAGTATACCATGTTTATGTTTTACACAATTTTTCAATCCAAAGATGGGTACCAAAATGTTATGATACCTAATTGTTGTAACGAAAGCGAAACCAAGATCAATCACACTCACACCCACAAACAAAAAGTAAATAAAGAGATACAAAAATTTACGTGGTTCAAAGAGAAGAAATTCCCCTACATCCACGGGTGGTAGCCAATTCCTATAACTAAAGTGTTTACAAATGTATTTCTCACTCTCTACAAAGTCTCTCAACAAAATTTCTCCCAGTTGCCGCAAACACAAAGTGACAATGTGATATGAACCAAAAGACATCAAGCATACAATATATTTCAATAAAGATGTGAAGAAAAGGTTGTCAAAATTATCGAAAGATGTTTTAATTCATGCCACATTGAAGAACATTGAAGTTTGATTGTTATAAATTTTGGGTGGGTTACCATTTAGAGTAATTTAGAGTTGTATTTTAAGACTCTTAGGTTACATTTATCCCATGACTAATTATGGCTATAAAGTATGAAAGTTATAACTGCTTTTAATAGTTTCATTCTTTAGGCTATATAAAGTAAGCAGACTTAGAAAATATAGTAAAAGAAGCATTTATGCTATTCGTAAATGGCTAAGTTTATTTGCAATTCTACTTAGTATAGTATAGGTGGCATGTAGAATCATTGATCAATCTTACTTGTGGAATGATTCGAATCTCAATCAAGTGTTCTTGCCTTGAGATATTTGATCAACAAGAATCATTCAAGTTAGACATGATGAATCTTGCTTGTGGAGTGATTTGAATCTCAAACAATGCTCTTGCCTCGAGATATTCGATCAACAAGGTAATCCGAATCTTATTCTCCTTGTATTGATTCCTTGTCTTATCACAATGACTCCACCCCTCAACACAATACTAAAAAAAAACTTTTATAGAGGCATAACAATACTAATTCTCATGAACCACATAATTGAGAATATGAAGCAAATGGTTATGATGAACCAAAATATACTGAAAATATAAACCACAAGGAGCTATGAACTAAATGAGATTTATAAACCAAAATAAATGAGAATACGAAGCTTATCTTACCTCAAACCGGGAATGAAGTAAACTCCTTTCATGACATATGCCATCAAGAGGGAAGCCCACTGTTTCAAGAGCTGGAAGATCTTCTTACCTTCCTCATAACTACTACCAAATGCGGTTCGAGAAATGACATCTGCAGCCATATTTTGTAAATCAGGCCATACATCTAATTCACAACACCCTTCTTTAGTGATCATCATTTCCCATTTGTTAATCATCTCGCTACAACTCTGGGAGAATGCTGGAAACATATCCTGTAAAGATTTCGAAACTATTTTCTTAAGATATCATTAAATTTAGTACAATTAGTTAATAACTAAAAGAAGTATACCTTAAGCTTTTCCATATGAAACGCAGGGTTGATGATCTTTCTATGCTTAGCCCATTTAGCTCCTTCAAGAGACACGACTCCACCGCCCATTCTTCTTCTAAACGGAAACAAAGTTGCCTTACGAATATCATTGATTTGAGAGAAAACCACCTTCACTTGTTCAGGGTGTGTTATATAGACTCTTGGAGTTGGGCCAATCCATGTGAAAGAATCCTTGCCTACAAAATTGGAGCGTAAGTGGAAGTAAGATTGACTGCACTCACACACCCACGAATAAAAATTAAACAAAAAGATATAAAATTTACGTGTTTTAGAGTGAATAAATTTCCCTACATCTATAAATGGTAGGTAACCAATTACTATAATTAAAGTGTTTAGAAGTTTATTTTTCACATTCAGACTATAAATTCTCTCTTACAAAATTCCTTCCAATTAGATCTAGATAAATATAGAATGACAATAACTTCGTGTATTTTTCACACTCAGACTACAAATTCTCTTTCCTCTTAATTAGATTTAGACAAATATAAAATGACAATAACTTCGTGTCTTAAAAACAATACTAGACAAACTTGACATAAACATACCAATATTAATTCTGATATATGAATCGAGTTACCGTATCGGTGAATAGTGATATGAGAGGAAGGGGTGGCGCGCGCAGCAATACGATGGGAGAAGCTGATGGGCTGCGTCTTAGCTTGGCGGACGGCAGCGGCAGTGTCCTTGGAATCCCCAAACAGAAGGCGATAAGAGTTGCCGGCGAGACCTTGGTGTCGCAAGCACTTCTCCAGCCTCTTCGGCGTCAACCACATCCAATTCAAGATCTTCCATCCCCATACACCCAACAATCCCAAACCCACCGCCCATATCCAATTCCACATGCTTTCTCGATCCGCACTTCCCCAATTCAGAGCTTTTATAACCCACTTATTAGCGCACTTTACCATTTTTCTTTTCTTAATTATTAATTATTTATTTTCACACCTGCTTCCACAGCTCAATCTTATGCGATTCTTTTCAAGATTTCTTCGATAATATGATATTATTTATTGAATATAAATTTTAATTCCACAAAAAAAAAAAAAAAAAAAAAATTATT